GTGTTCATTCTCACTCCGGATTTTCCGTCGGACGGAATCAACGATTTTTAACAGTGCAGGGCTGGATTTACCTACTTGCCGCCCATGGGCCGCCTGTATTTTGTCGCCCCTTTCTCATTCGTTTTGAAACATCAATAAAAACCATCAAGTGATCGTGCCGGAGGGGGAGGGGTGCGTAAGACGCGTTTACCTAATCGTGTTGGATACATTTTTTGCGAAAGCCTTGTCAACACTACTTGCAAAATTTCACGGAACTTGACGCGAAAGTTAAGTACCGTAAACCTATCTCTGTATGGACAAGGTCCTCCATTTATAAGAAATGAACCAAAAAATTATGAAAGAACAAACATAAAGTGGTTTAATAATTTTAACTTCCGCCGCTGCGCCGCGCGGATCGCACTGTGTTTGGCGCAATGCGTGAAGTATTCCTGTAGTCTTGTAGGCGCTATGCGTTTCACGCCAACCGCTCCTGACCGCACTGTGTTTGGCGCAATGGGTGAAGTATTCATGCAGTCTTGTAGGCGCTAATATGTGTTATATGCCGACCGCCGCGCCGAGGGCTTGCTCTTTTTATCTTAAATCCTCGTCATCATTCCTCTCTGCGCTAAGCTCCAGGCCAAATTGCGTGTTTAGTTCCTCTCTCAACTCGACTAATTAAAGATGCTGTCTCTTACATATCACCGAAAAACGAAAAAATTAGAAATTATTATACTTTCGGGAAAGAGAGAGTTTGTCCCCTTTCCTCATTGATAATTTTTCTTTCTGAATCCGATTTTTTTATTCCTACATTTAAAAAAATTGCAAAATTTGCCGCCCCCTAAATTTGCCGCCATGGGCTGCGGCCCACGTGGCCACCCCCTTAATACGGCCCTGACTCACACTGGTTTGCACTAATTTAATTCGTGGTCTAAAAAATAACTCTCTGTTTATGAATAATTGAAAATATCATATGAGGGGCTTGGTGGACAAGGCGCATAAGTGCAGTTTTTGCTATTTCGAGAAATATACGTGTTTGAAGTTCCGAAATTACACGGATCCTTATAGCAGAAAGGAGGTTTAAACTGACTTTTTGATGCTTAAAAATTGGAATGCCGGAGCAAATTTTTCGGAGAAAATGCAATAAGATTAGTTTTACTTGAATCAATAATATCTCAATTTTTCCAAAAACAACACTTATGCGCCTTGTCTTAGCCCGTTATATGTGCATAGCGAGAGGTATTTGACCGTGTAATAATAAAATATCATGAATTCAAAAATGGGTCATTTTATTAGGACTGCGTTTAGCAGAGAGGAACGAAACCACATCAGCTATCGCCAAATTTAATCAGGCAATTTAATTTGTTACAAGAGAATGTTTGCGCAAATTCTTTAGACAATTTTATGGAATTCGCCTCGCAATATCCAGAAAATTCACGAAAATTCGCACGAAAATTCGCACAAAAATCCGCACAACCATTCTCATATAAAAATTAAAATGGCCAATTAAATCTGGCAACAGCTGATGTGGCTTGGCTCTTTTCTGCTTATAACGCGGTCCATTATTCGGCAAGTTGAGTAAGTGAATTCGGCAGTTTAAGTGTCCTTGAAAATATTATATGCGTAAAGGAAGCGATTATTTACTCTGTAACTTTTAAATAGACATGGAAACGGTACTTACACTTCATTATCCGGCAAATTAAGTGAGATGCTGCCTCTGGCTGTGTCTCCGTATTTAAGGTATCCGGCAAGACCTACCAAAAGGTAGAGGATCGTAATAGGTACCATTGCACAGTTGAGCACACCAAACCAGCCTCGAAACTGACGCGGATTTTTCATTTCACTCTTCAGAGGCATCACCTGAAAGAATTAGAAAGTTGGAACCATGCACTACTTCTTTGCTGGCTGATTAAATAAATCGATAGACAAAGCAATGGACACCGAAGACACATGGAAAATGAAGTGATCCTATTATTGGAAGTGCCTGGTTGGGATTGACAAAGGAGGGCTGGAAGAATAGGTTATAAGAACCTCCCGTTTCGCTCGTTAGGATAGCTTCATTTTTCCTTTGTCTTCTTTGCCAATCGCTTCGTCTATCAACTTCTTTACTCTATTCACGGCCAACCTAAGAAGAGACGGCGTATGAGCTCCGAGGCGTTGCAAAAGTATCTATGAACTTTGATAAATCACGAATTTCAGGGAAACGTGTGAATATTTTCTTAATATTTTTTCAGAGAACTTCCTTCGCAATCGAATCTAAAGTACCTATCTGAATATTCCACGAAAAAATTTTCATAATTTTCCTTCAAAATAAATATTTTATGGAGGACAGCTTTGCAACATTCGAATATTTACTAGGCGCTATTCGTTCAGTGGTGATGTAGGTCCGTAATCCTACATTTCGAAGTTCCTTCAATTAGCGATGAATACAACTTAATTAACACGGAGGTAGTGTTTGATTGCATATTCAACTTTTTGAAGGCGTTTTGAACTTCTCATTTCTATCTTTCGTTAATGAAAAGTTCATCAATATATCATCATGCGTCACAGATTTAGCTCGTGTAATTCATCAATGGGTTGGAGAACAATAGTCATCGTCAGTCAAAAGAGAGGCCTGCGGGAGCAGTACAGGACCATGTAATGAAGCTGCTCAATAGTATTCGCATGGATTTTTCATTTGTTTCAAAGTTTGTCTCTTATTCTAAGTTATGCATTACTAAATAACGTGTATTCAAAAGTAATTTTTTGCTTCCTCTTTCTGCTCCCTAAAGGCCCAGAGGCTTCACTCCTGCCCCCTCCTGAGAGACCTGCTCCAGTGCTCCTACCTTCTCCTGGAGAAGTCTAAATAACCAAGCATAAACCAAGAGGAACTACATCTATTGTGACATGAGCCGTGCCATGCATGCATACTAATGGATCTTGGAGCTCAGATGAGAATGAATAGGGTTCCTTTTGATTTAAATGCGTCCAATTGCACCTCCCCCTTTCACCTAAGTTGTTCTCGATATGCATATAGGTAAAGATGACGAAAAATATGTTACTTTTGACTTAACGCATTGCAAGCATGAAGTAGGTCTGTCTGAGTTGCCCTCTGCTTAGACAATACAGGCCCCCCACATCCATCGGTAGGCCCCGGGGTCAGATAAGTTAGCGGGCCCCCCTTTTAGTAAACTATTTAAGGGTGGTTCGGGGGCCGCCCCCGAAAATTTTTTAAAATTTTGCCTCCAATCTGAGTAATTTCATGCTATTTCCGCACTTATTCAGATTACTTTATGCAAGATTTTTCCCCTTTCAAAAGCTCAGAAATATTGCAGTTGTTTGAAAATTTGTACTGAGCCGTTATGAAAAAGATCAACAATCGACGTAAAATTTTTTTTTTTATTTGTATTTTTTTTACATAGAAAAAAAAAACCATTGTAAACTTAAAATGTCTAAAGTGAACTATTGAATCAGTTTTGACGTAGGTAAAATTGGAACTTTTGTGCTTCTCGGAGGCCCTACCGCCCCCCCCCCGGGGCTGGAGTCCCGGCAACCCCCCCTATGTGGGGGGCCTGAGACAATATACGGGTGAAAGTTACCATACAGTATGACCGTATCAGAAATCAAGTAAAAGTAATGTAAATCGTATTATTCTTTTCCGTGACTAAATTTTTCAACCTTAAACATTTTTGGAATTGCTTAAATCATCCTTATTCCTTTCACCCTTAAAATTCAACGATGTTAGGAGCTATTTTCGATGATTTATTTTTGAATAAAAAAGTTCGCCGTGGAGATTTGTTGAAAAACTTACCACTCCAACCGCCTCCATCGCGAAAAGAGCCGTTCCGATAAAAAGAGGAAACCGATCCAATTCAACGACCGCTTGTCTGGTCGAAAAGCTCGGCAAATCGGAGAGCATATAGTAAAACGTAATGCAGTAGCAGATCAACGTCATTACGTTACCGAAGGACGACACCGGTGCCAAATATTTAAAATTCCGCAACCAACAGATCAGGATCAAAGGCCCCAACAAGTATGCCATGTAGAGCCGGATATCCGTTTTGCCGAAGTACTGATCTCCCACCTAGAATAAACAGATGAAAAACCATTATAGAACAAAGACTTTCTTTTTGGCATATCAAACGCCGATGTATTGGAGCAGCAACATCTTGAATTTTCAGAAAAGTTCCAAAATTTTAGCTCTTGTGTAAAAAATGAAAAAAAAACTAAAGAAATTTCAACGACAACGTTTATTGAACTTGACGATAGGAAAATATTTCTGAGGAGGCCGTAGTGCAGAATCTGTATGATCTTATGAGTAAAATCAATTGGGAAGGGATGGAAAATGGCGATGCTAGGTTTCTGGGTCGTTACAGTTGGGACGCCATGATTAAGGATATTTGTCCATTTTTCCCTCTTATTGATGCCAATAAGATGCTTCATTCATCAGCTCGTTGATAAATTGGTCGTATTCTCCACAGCAGGAATATTATTCAAACAGTAGCACCAAGCAGCTCTACTTCAGAGTGTAGTCGGTTCGATTATTATTTTTCTCGATTGAGGTCAAAATTATCCAAGAACAAGATAGAATCGAGCTAACTGCTATTTTTGTGATTCATTATACTTACAATTAGTGAGAGCAACAATAAGAAATGGAAAAAAATAAACATGGAGACAGTCAACTAGGTAAATTATATCAGAATTTGATTGTAATTATGAGTGAAATAGGCTATGTACACTAAAATCCCTTACCGCTTTCATGTTTTCAGCCACGAATACAATGTACACGCAACAAGCACCGCCTTGAAACAAAAAGAGAATTATTTTGCACGCCACCCTGTAAGAAAAGAGAAATACTTAAAATTTAAAAACTGATGTATATAAAATAATGACAAAAGTGGACTGACCGTTAATGAAAGTCAGTCCTCTATTCCCGGCGATGAATTGATACGGAGAATACTGAAGCGACATAATTTGGTAACAATTTCTCAGTAAACGTCCATCGATGAGAATAAAGGTTACATCTGAATAAGTGATTCTAAATTCAATGATCTGTTAGGAAAGTTGTTTGAAAAAAGCAGTAAAAAATGCAGAGGAAGGAATGCCGCTAAAATTTCCGAAAAACTGTCACGCGTGACGAGGAGGATGTACTCTTTTGTTATGATTAACATGGTAATTAATTAAAAAATCGAGGTACAAACCGAAATACTTAAATTATTTTGGCTTGAACAGTTTTTTTTATCAATTACCATGTTCTATGCAGCTTAGCCAGCCAAAGGCAATAAAATTTTATAATTAACGTATCATTAAATACAAAGAATATTATTATCACGAGTCGTTCAACTATTATCCCTTTCAACGAAAAGTGATGTATTTTTGTAGAAATACCAACCCCGCAGCTCTTGCCAAAGGTCTGAACGTCTTGGGTCCTTCTACAAATGCTGCCTCAAATGTCTGAGCATACGTCATCCTGGGAACTCGTCGCTTTTTACACAGCTCATATTCTGACCGCACCTGGTGAAAATAGATAGGAATGTAAGAGCAATTCCAATTTATGGCTTCGCAGTCTGAATATCACTTTCAACAGACATCTCACGCAAATTTGATTGATAACCATTGATTTCAGTCAGCGATAATACGATCAGCCCATACTCAAGCGATTTATGTGTCTTTGAACTCTCATTTTCATCCTTTAATTTAATGAGTTTAGTGACAATTAATTTTTGAAGGTCATGAGTATTTATACTGCAAGTACTTTTGCTTCAAATTTTTACTTAAATATTTTTTCTCTTTCTCTACATTGTTCAAAACAATAATATTCTGTCCTCGTTTTAAAATGAGTCAAGTCAATCGACTCAAAGATAGAAGCATAAGAGACTACAACTTATAGAGAAGTAAAGTAATTTATATTTAATAAGAGCCATTTTAGAATTAATAAGAGCACTTAAGGGACTTTTAGAATAAAATGAATTTAATTATGGTGACATTAGAGTGAATGATGACTCGACATTGTCTTTAATTTAAGAACTTAATATTATTATTTAATAGTATGTGATTCAGATCCTAGACTCTCTTAAACTTACTTTTATTTATAGTCCAAAGATTGCCCCTTGACCAAGGAAAATACACCAAAAGTTCTCAAAATTACGTAACTTAACATAACATATACGTAACATATTATGGTTGGTATCTTCAGCAATCTGTTGAGACTGTGAGTGACGTGGTACAGTCATTACATTCAGTAGTTTAACCGACTCTCTTAGATGTCTTAAAAAATCACGAGCATCACCTCAGCCTCTTAAGGCCACAAATAGAGACCATATACTATGTCACTCTACGAAATTCAAGTACAATAATGGGAATCCATAAGTATTTGAACACTCAAAAAAATCAGGGCAATGTGGGAAATTGTATTAGCTCTTAGGGACTACCAGTGAAATAAAATGGTAAAAAAAAATTGCGAAAGAATGGGATTCTCTCATAAATTTTCTTCAGTCTTTAGAGACCGCGAATAGAAAATACAACCAAAATTTATTGCAAGAATAAACAAAAACGAAGATATCAGAATTTGATTAGCTGCGTAACTTACAAGCATTTGCATCGTATAAGTGCTGAGGGCTCCAACAGCAAGAGTGCCTATAATGCCCAGCAAATAACCTGCGTTAGAAAACGCCTTGGGCATCGCTAAAATTCCGGTACCTAAACTGACTTTCAGCATGTGAATCAATGTCTCGAAATACCTGTAATTATAAATATATTGAGGGGTTTTCAGTATTATTATTTTTGAGAATTTTTGATTTTTTCCTTTTTTCTAAAAGGCAATGGACCACTAGACAAGGTACGAATTTGAGCATTCTGATACATGTTTCTTGACCAAAATTTTACGTAAAACACGGTGCGCACAACGAAAATTACCGATATCAACTCTTTACGAAGATATT